TCCTCCATTCTCCTCTCAGGATCTTGGGCATGCACGCACACACGCCCGGCGTGAGTTTTAAGCCACCAGGTCTGGGACGCGAATCGCAGTTGACTATGTGGGAATCCAGTGATGGAGCCATTACGCTAACTGCTGGTTCCCAGGAGCTGGCATTTTTTTTTTTTTTTTTGGAGAGGTTTTTCGCTATAGGGCGCGTGCGCTCGCCAGACAGACAGAAAGAGACATAGAGACAGAAAGTGAGAAATCACCCCCCAGGGGGGATGGTCACACCGCAATCCCTTCTCCTCCATTCTCCTCTCAGGATCTTGGGCATGCACGCACACACGCCCGGCGTGAGTTTTAAGCCACCAGGTCTGGGACGCGAATCGCAGTTGACTATGTGGGAATCCAGTGATGGAGCCATTACGCTAACTGCTGGTTCCCAGGAGCTAGCATTTCTTATGGTAGTTAAGTCAGTGGACTCCTACATGGCTGACTGCAGTTTGAGTCCCGGACCTAGTGGCTTGAAAATCATGCTTGGTTTGTGTGTGTGCATGCCCAAAATTCTGAGAAGAGAATGGAGGAAAAGAGATTATAGCATGGCCATCCCCTCAGGGGATGATTTCTCACTTTCCCTCTGTCTCTGTCTCTCTATTCAGCAAGCGCATGTGGTAGAGACCATGTAGCCAACACAGGCAGAGTCAAAGAGTTGTCTCTCATGTCTAAGCAAGGCTTGGATGAGAAAAGTTGCTGGCAAGGACCACAGCTGTGCGCTCAGGCTTTCAAACTGTGTTTGCTGTATTTCTCTGCCATGGGCTTTATTGCTGTTATGGTACCCTGGCACCCCGTAAGGGCAAAATAACACCCCCAGTCTTACTGTAACTTTTACAGTAAAACCACTAATAATCTTAAAAAGAACGCGGACTCCTAAAAGCAGCAGGGAGCAGGGGGATTGAGACTCACTCCACCTGCCTGGAAAATAACAAAGAATGCTGAAAAATCATGCTGGGTTTGTGTGTTTGCATGCCCCAAATCCTGAGAAGAGAATGGAGGAAAAGAGATTACAATGTGCCCATCCCCTCAGGGGATGATTTTTCACTTTCCCTCTGTCTCTGTCTCTATTCAGCAAGTGCATGTGCCTTATGGCAAAAAAAAAAAAAAAAAAAAAAATTAAAAATTTCTTTTAAGTTCTTATTTTAAATAAAGGATCAGAGAGCAAATGCAATTACTTTTTTGTACTTAGGAATTGTAGGTGCAATTGTGTTTAACCAAATGATCTTATTGGTAATTTTTTTTAATAGTGAAGTAATAACACTTTAGTCATAAATATTAATTTCTAGCTATTCTTAGTAACATGGTTACATTTTAATCTAACAGTCAAGTTTATTCTGTAAAATTCCTTAGAACGTTTTCCTATACAAAGTTAAAAATTTAAATATTGAAGTCCCTGGTCACATAGACATACATTTGAATTTTGATTCTGAAGCTTAATTAACTGTGAGTCTGCACTATTTGCTTCACAAAACTGAGCCTCAGTTTCCTGATCTATAAAATGGATATGTTAATAAACAACTTCTGTAGGTCAATTTGTGGATTAGAGATAGTGTATATCAGTTCTTAGGTCATTTATATATATTTCATAGGTTATAACTGTTATAATATTCTAAGGGGTGTGGTAGGTCAGAATATATCAATAAGTTGAATTGAGTCTACTGGTTTTGTTATTTGTACCTTTGTAGCAAAATTTTAAGTTGTTAAGCACCTACATTGTAGCTTACTAATGAAAAGCTTCTTTTAATTGCTATCAAACCATTTTACATGTGAGTGGTTATCCATGTAGCAGTGCCATAAATTCTTCAGAGTAAATGACAACATAACAAATTAATGAGAAAATCATTCTATGCTTGGATATTTTCCCATTCTTTTTTATTTTTGTTACCCTAATAGTTTAAAAAGTATTGCTTCCTTATTTTAATTTGCATTCTTTTAATTACTAATAAGATTGTGCACTGTGTAAAAATATACTTTGTAAACGAGGTAGAATGAGCAGCTCTTTCTTACCATAAAATTCTAATTAATAAATATGAATAGTATGATGGAACTAGAAAATTTCATTTGGTAAACCACAGTAATCATTGTATGTCAGTCAATATAACAGGTGGAAAGATGCACAAGGTATGTTTTTCAGAACTTCAGGTATCTCCCTACAAGGTACTTGTTAATTAAAAGGGGAAAACTGAGGAAACCTGGCAGGCAACACTTTAAGCAAGTGATGTAAAGTACCATCACCAATAATGAGCCATTTTGACAACTTGGTATGTAGTTTTCATAGAGCATGGCAGATATTACTCTGGTGGTACCGTTGCCAAAAATAAATAACCTAAATTTAACCATGAGGAAATAGTGAACTCAAATCAGGAGACATACTATTAAACAATTGGCTAGTAATTTTTGAAAGTCTCTAGGGCAAAGAAAGACTGAGGAAATTTTCTAGACGGGATTTAGGGGACATGACAACTAAATGCAGTGTTTGATCCTGGTTTTGATTCTTCTGCAGGTAAAAAACATTGGTAGATAACTGGGAAATTTTTATAGCCAATATATCAGTTATAAGACTAAGATTATTTCAAAATAAAATGATTTTTTTTAAAGTATAGTTAAAATAAATCACCTAGTTTTGAAAGGACCATATTAATATGGCTGCCAGAGTTTATAGAGAACATACAAATCATTTGTGTCCTATTCAGTGAGCTGTAGTAAATAGCAGATAGTTTCTGAAAAAGTAGTAGTAGGTAAAATTTTGTCAAAAAATCTCAGCGGTACTAAATTATTAGGGTAATCTCTATTTTTTAGATAATTATTCTATTTAAGTAAATGCTCCTAATCCTTCTGTTCATTCCATTATTATTATTTTTTTGAGAGATTTTTTGCTATAAGGCATGTATACTAACCAGAGAGAGAGAGAGAGACAGAAAGTGAGAAATCACCCCCCAGGGGGGATGACCACACCACAATCCTTTCTCCTCCATTCTCCTCTCAGGATTCTTGGGCACACACACAAACACTCCTGGCATGAGTTTTAAGCTGCCAGGTCTGGGACTTGAACCGAGGTTGACTACATGAGAGTCTAGCAATGTAACCATTATGGCATCTGGTGATTCCCCATTATGTTTTATCTATTACATACAGAAGGTATTTTGTGAAATCGTCTCTTTGTTTTCAGGTAGAAAAATATTTGATGTAATTGTGATAGACCCACCATGGCAGAACAAATCAGTTAAAAGAAGTAACAGGTAAGTGGAAACAAATTATCTATTAGATATGCTTTCTAAAAGCAATGTTCTTTGAACAGTATAGTTTAATATGCTACAAACATGATAGAGGTTATCAACAACTAGTAACAATTTAAAAACTTTAATTTCCTTAATTAGATAATTCTTTTGAGCTGGAATTATATACATAATATATTTATTAATTGTTAAGGCTGCTGCCTGAACCAGGTTATAGTTGTTTCTGTAATATCAAAGGGCAACATTTTTGCCTTCTTTAATCATAAATTCTAGACTTTGGGAATATTTGCCAAAATAGTCTTAATTTTCTTTAATAACCTGCTATAAATAACTTTAACTTATTCTTATTCTTTTTTTTTTTTTGGGAGAGGTTTTTGCTATAGGGTGCGTGTGATCGCCAGACAGACAGAGAGAGACATAGAGACAGAAAGCGAGAAATCACCTCCCAGGGGGGATGGTAACGCCGCAGTCCCTTCTCCTCCATTCTCCTCTCAGGATCTTGGGCATGCACACACACGTGCCCGGCGTGAGTTTTAAGCCACCGGGTCCAGGACGTGAACCGCGGTCGACTACGTGAGAGTACAGCGACATAGCCATTACGCTAACTGCTGGTTCCCAGTAACTTTAACTTATTCTTAAACTTGTTTTTAATGTTTAATTTATGACACCATTTTTAGTTTATATCAATGTTAAGGGTGATAAATTCATTTAATTACTAGAATGGCCTTTCCTCTTAATGTTTTTAAAACTTGAAGAAGTTTTTCTCTCTAATTCTAATGAATGTCTTCAGTTATATTTTATTTCACTATTCTGTTTTAAGACTGAATAATTCATATTTCCTTGACTAAAATTTCACGTGAAATTTCTTCCTCTCCACAGTTATCTTTAGCTTCCATTTGCTTTTTTAATTTGACCAGAGGTGGGGGGGGGAGAGAGAGAGAGAGAGAGAGAGAGAGAAAGAGAAAGAGAAAGAAAGTAAGAAACCAAGCTGTCAGGTCCAGGACTCAAACCATGATCGGCCATGTGGCAATCCAGTACCCTTAACCACCATGCCACCTGGTGGTCTCTCTTCTTTTTAAAACTATTTTTCCTTTATTTGTGATAGAACATATATGTACAAGAGAGTGAGAGCTAGAGGAAAGGGGTGAGCACCTTCCACAGGGTCTGGTCACACTGAGGTGTCCTTTCTCCAGTCCTCCAGCCTTTCAGATTTTAGACAGGTATGCATGTGCCCAGTGTATTTCAGGTTGACTGGACTCAGGATTCAAACTGTGGTCACCATGTAAATTTTCTCTGAGCAGTGTATTACCACTACACCCAAGAGCTGGCGCTGGATTTTTTTTCTTAAGTTGTAAGAATCATACAAAGAATTCATATGTCTGCTCTCTATGTGTATATTTGTGCATGCACCTATATTTACGTATAATTTTTTCTGAACCCCTTGAGAATATTTCAGAGAAAGAGTAAATTACTCCCTTATCTGTTTCCTAAAAACAAAGATATTATCTTACGTAATCATGATATAATTATGAAAATAAGCAAGCAGCATTGATACAATACTGCTATCTACAGACCTTATTCAGGTTTCACCAACTGTCCTAGAAATATCTTATAAGCAGAATAAGATCCTGAATCATGAATTACATTCAGTTGTGTATCTCCTATAATAATCCTTTAACTCTCTTCCTTTGGCAAATTTTAATTTGTATCCTTTACCCTAATAAACCATAACCAAATGTAAGAGCTTTCAATAAGTTCTGTGAATCTTTTTTGAACCTGATGATGGCTTTGGAAACTGTTTGAACTTAAAGCTGGTTTTAGAAATAAAGTCAGTCTTGGGACCAGCAGTTAGTGTAATGGCTATGTTGCTGGACTCCCATGTAATCGACTGCAGTTCCCGTCCCGGACCCAGTGGCTTAAAACTCATGCCGGGCGCATGTGCGTGCATGCCCAAGATCCCGAGAGGAGAATGGAGGAGAAGAGATTGTGGCGTGGCCACCCCCCACCCCCCCGGGGGGGATTTCTCGCTTTCTATCTCTCTGTCTGTCTGGCAAGTGCACGTGCCCTATAGCAAAAACCTCTCCAAAAAAAAAAAAAAAAAAAA